GGTAAAACCCGGCAAGTTTATCATTTATTTCTCCCTTATAGTCGATTGAAAGAACAGCTTCTCCAATAAAAGGTTTCTGTAAAGGAAATGTCGCTTTCATTTCGACCGCATCAAGAATTATAGATTCAATAGGGATCGTTTCCACGACAGAAGAATTCCCTGCGAGAGCAAGGGTCACCTTGACAAAGGATAACTCATTATAGTTGAGGGTAATGCTGTTTTGAAGATTTTTTGCAGTTATCTGTATATCAACATGACCCGTGAACAAAAAAGCATCGAAGTCCGGCAATATGATTATTTTATAATGACGCGGCGTAGGATCATCAGGAAGAACATTTCTGATTTTCGCCATATTTTTCCTTTTTCTTACAGTTTTATTTATGTATTTTTATTTTTTATTTTTATTTTCTTTTCCAAAGTAGTGGGAAAGGTCAAAAGACAAAAAAGGGTTTGCACAGAAATGTCTTTTCCAGAAAAATACTGAAAAGGAAGAACGATATACTGAGGAAAAATAAAATAAAACAAAATAAAAAACATAATAATAATAAAATTATTATTATCATTATTACTATTATTAAGTAAATAGAACAAAAAAGTGAGCAAAAAAACAATCTACATAACACTCATATGTATATATTATACAGCAATAAAGAATGACATGAAGTTTCTCTTCAGTCTGTGGTGATAAACTGCACCCCAAACAGAATTCTTCCGATAAAGTAAACTAAAAGAGATAAATAAATAAATCATTCTAAGGAAATATCACAAATAAAATTTATATACATTTCTGATGAAATAAATACAATGTAACACTCTTTTTCTATTGATGTGAAATTGCTCATGTGGGGAAAAAGCACAATTTGCAACGACAATAGTAATTTAACAAAAAAAAAAAGTCACATAACCCAAGACAACTGATTTTGGATGATAAAATGTTTTAAAGAGTCAAATACAAAATGGATTCATAGGGCATGGTTCTTCCCATTTTCCATGATGCATTTCGTTTCCAAAGTAGCCCCATTTCCTGTGCCTATATATATATATATATATGTGAAAAAAAAAAAAAAACAATGAAATAGTAATAACGCATAATTGGGATAAGGTCATAATATCAAAATAAAAATATTCTAAAGTTTTTTTCTAAATGATAATAAATTCCAATGATACTTTTTATTCATTACATTTATGTAAACAAATAATTTTCTCGCGAAAGATAGTTGACTTATGCTCGCGCGGTAAAACCCCCCAAAATGCTCGAGTAAAAGATACCTTACAAGCACGTCTTCTCTTTTGAAGAGGAAAAAGCTCTACAGGCAGCGTTTGATACTCTAGAATGCATTCATGTCTCTTCGAATGCTTTGTATTATTGATGGTTCCCGTTCCGCGCACAGCAAGAGATGTAGAAAGAACCTTTTCCGCAATAACACTCTCCGACAAAGCTATGCGATCCTCAAGCTCTTTTAGCGTTACGCGAAAGCGATTTATGTCAGAAAGTTCAATTTTTTCAAAAGGATTTTGAATACGCTTTATCATCGGAGCCAACTTTTGAATTTTGGCTTTCCTCATCGAAATAAATTGCCGACTTTTTTTCCCTTCATTCAAATGCTTTGTTCTAACCGATTTTACAGCGGCAGTTTCATCATTGGGTATAATAAAGGCGATATGTTGATGAGAATGTACATCCCATAAGGCCATATACAATTCATCTGGAATAGGAACAATTGATTTGTTTCCCTGAAAAACGCAATCCAAGGAATTTTTTTCCTTTCTAAATAGAACACCTGTTGATACGGCCAGACATCTAGAAAAAACCCAACCTTTCCTTCTTTTCAATGGACTTAAATTTCCATCATATTGATTCGCAACAAATAGCTCGTCCAAAGTTGAGAACCCATCGCCTTCTACATAACATCGTGAAATTCGTTCTAATCTTTTCCATATACCTCGGTTAAGAGACTTGTGTTGTAAAACAAAGTTGGAAGCCAAAGAAGCCTCAAAACTAGTAGTAACGCACGTTGCCACAGATGCAAGTGGGGCCATATGCCCTTTATCATATGCATGCCGTTGTAGTTGCATTGGTTTTACCTGAATTTCCCTCGGTAATGTCCTGTCAGTATAAAAGGCATGTGCTTTATGTTTGTGACGCGCCACTTTAACCATTCCCGAAGTCAAATAGAAGCCACACCACAAAGCCATTTTTAGATTTTTGTCGTACAACAGTGCATAGTTACTACGTGATATTAACTGAAGCGTGTCCTCTCTTTTCAAAACAGCCATGTCATTTATGGCATTTGTAGTTTTGAAAGATATTCTGGACCCACGAAAATTGTTTGGTTCCAACCACGCTGGATTGTGGAACCTATGATTCAAACAACGTTGCCCAGCCCCCATCACGCGTCTTACGCGGGTTCGAACCCACAAGCCGCTAAAAACCCCAATAAAATAAGAAGCACCCACCAGAAAACAGATTGGCATACTGAGCACCATCCAATTTGGGGTATATACGGTCTCCAATTGCCTTTTATTTATTGAAGAATTATTATTCCACCACATGCAGCGTCACTTAAACAACCTGGTAAAATGTCTTATTAGTAAATATAGATACAAAAACAAAAGTAAGCTAAAAACAACAACAACGAGGGTATAACCCAAGCCTTGGTGTAGTTGTTTAAATACATTCCTCCAGAGATCACCCACAAAAGTAGGACAACAACAAAAAAGTATGAGTAAGTTTAATCATTTTATGTTGCTGCAAATAGAGATAAATATAAATTCCCTAATATACATATATATATTTCACACTGATTTGTTGGAAATCCGCACTCATCCCAACAATACAAGTAAGCAAAAACAGTGGCAGCCACACAACCCGCCCCGATCCTTGCTCAAAAAAAAAAAAAAAAAGACAAAAACAGCCTGTCCCACCAAAAAGAAAAATCACGCGCTACAACAACCGCCGCGGAAAAAAGCCGCCCCTTGCGTCGCTGGGTCGGCTTCGCCGCCACCTCGACGAGCGCACTCGCCGCGGCGTTCCGCACAGACAGGCCTCTCCCGTATTTTATTATTGTTTATTTTTGCTGCGGGGGAATGGCTGCGCCCTACGAGTGGGCGGCAAAACTTCCCAGCGGTGTCCTCTTTGCTCAGCTTGTTGGTGTGGAGGTCGCGCACAGGGTGAGCTGTGGGGACCCGCCCGACGCGATCCTCCCGCCCCACGCGGGGGGCGAGAGAAAGGCGCACTCGGCACCTTCTTTTCGTCAGTCATGAATGATCGTGGGGGTGGGGAGTCACGCTGGGCTCGCCGTGGGCCACGGAATGCATCCGTCGCGGCCATGGCGACAGCATGACGAGGGCGCGAGGTGTTTACATGTATATTTCTTATCTTGTCCTGGAGGAAATTGTGTCACAGACTATTCTTACTTTTCTCTCCCGTGCCCTTTCGTCAATAAGTATGCGTGTCGCGGCGTAGATGGTGTGATGGTATTTTTGAGTGCATGTGAGAAGAATGTTATTGAGAGGGCTGGCTGCCCAACTTAATGTAAGTTTTGGTAAAACGACGAAAATATTTCTGTGTGATCCTTTTCCTGTCTTATGTTCCTTTGAAAGGCCCCGATGGAAGGAGTCAAGGGACCGATAACGGCAAGACGCGTTTTATTTTAGGAGGTCGTGAAAAGAATGATCGCGGGAGAGCTGGCTAACTTAATTAATGTATGTATATCCTGATAAATGAATGCATTCTTTATGATACTTTCTACCGTATGAATCCTTTGGGGGGAACGCGACTTTTTAGGTGCCGGGAGCCGATAGAGGCCAGATAAATTTTTATTTTTATTTTTCACAGACACACAGCCAGGTAAGTTTAAGGAAATGACTTTGGTTCCCTAACCCTCCGAGTGGTGTGATATTGGCGCCCGTCTCTGGGAAATGGTGTGCCAATGTGGCGATACCCAGGCGCAGATGACGTTCATTAATGGTAACCAGCTGTCGGACGGGACGTTAACTGTGGCCGCACCATCGACAGGCTTATGCTTGTTCCATGGACCTGTCTCTAAAGCATGGCAGGATTCTACTCTTATTGGACATATTGCGAATCCGCGGGCGCCTCAGATCCCTAATTTTGAGACACAAGCGCTCCTGCCCGCTATGGGGGCAGCCCGGGAGTTGGAACACCAACAAGGGCTCATCACTGCTGAAAGGGAGCGCCTGAATTTTGATTATGCGAACGCCGTAGCGGACGTGCAGAATCGAAATGCTCAGCTTAACTCGCAGTTTCAGGAGGCGCAAATTAACCTATCGGTAAGGGAATCCAATATCGCCGGGGCCGGCAACCAGGTCCTAGAACTACGACAGCAGTCGGAGGCCGCTCACGCCCAATTACGGGAGCGCGAATTCAACTCGGGAGCCCTCACCGCTCAACTCCAGGAACGGGAGGCACGCCATAATGCACAACAACCGCGCGGTATGCGGAGACGGCGGGGCGGGACGAGGCCCCCGCCACTCGACACGTTGCCAACGATGGCGTAACTACACTACCGCATCAAACGGATATCTTGATGGCTGGAGGAGTGCCTAGCAGTGCGGCCCGACGCAGTTCGGCGGCTCACAGGCCCCCTCACGGTAATGCCGCGAGACCACATTTCCACCCTTCCACGCCGTTGCCCTCCCGCACTTCTCCCCTGGACGCCCAATTACCCATGGAGGGGGACCGCAGTTTCTGCGCATTCGACGTCACTACGTGGCCCTCGCGTGTATGGAATGAGGGCGCCTCCGGAGTCGTTATCGACCTCCGGTGCGCACACCAATGCCGGCAACAGGACGACGAGCAGGTTAAACTTGCCTTTGACAATTTGGTCGAGTGGATCAGCGCGCTGGAAGGCCTGCAGGATCCCACCGATCGAATCATGAATTTGGGCAGGTCCCTGCTGAATACATTCCGGATGCGGCTCACGATTGCGTCCGATCCCGGCATCCGGCTTTCCAAACCGCGCGCCCGTCTACACACCGTCTGTTCACCAGACGGACGCTTATGCGAGGGCGACCCAGCCTCTCGTCGATCGGCGAGAAACCCAACGCACTGTGCGATGCCAACGTTGTCACACCTATGGACACGAGGCGTCTACATGCAATGTGCGCCCCCGAGGGAATTACTCACAACACAGGCGCCCATCAAAAAACGGCAAAGGGGATGCCGCAAGCCGCTCATGAATGCTGACGACGGGAGCTCCATCCGATCCGCCACCTCCCACCATTACGCACAGGCGTCGCACCGCGCCACCGATGCTCCACCCGATCTTTCAAATTGCCCGAAGAAATCGTCGGGAAGGGGGATGGGGCTTGTCTGCCAACGACGCTCGACTGTGGTACGACGAATCACCGACATCACCGCTTTGGGCCAGCTACATGAGGAGAGCGAAGGAGTTAGCTCGAGAGATGTGGGTGCCGCCAACGTGGGAGCGAGGAATGTCCCTAGCGGGGCATGCCAGCTTGCGTGGACAACGGCGAGTCTTTGGTCCGAAGTTGCGGCCCTGACTCCCAACAATTTCACAATGGGGCCGGACGGGACCGTAATTTCTGATTGGTCCGTGGCGCGAAAGACGGCGAGGGCGCATCTCCACCGCGCCTCGCGGTTCGTCAGTATACGGGGGCAGGAAGCGTTTGTCATCATAAAGTTATGCAGGACACTTCAGCACAACGAAGAGCTCACGAATCTTGCGACCGCCCAAGTCGAACGAGCTTTGGCTCCTTGGAATGCCACGGCACGTTCCATAAAACGGGGTGCGTTGCGGCACGCCGCTCCAATCGTGGAGACACACAAATTTTACCCACACGTGATCTCGCTGTTGGTGAGGCGCGTCGATTTCTTCGACCTTCCCCAGAACGCATTCCGATATTTTGGGAGTTACACCACAATGCCGACCCAGGTGTCGTCGCTGGCCGCATTGATGTGAAGGGAGAAACTGCGGAAGGGCAGGAACTCTGGTTGAGAGCAGAGGAGCCGTTTTCCCATGATTTTTACCACCCTGCTACAATAACGAGACGCGCGACAAGGACGCGTCTGGCCACTCCACAAGTTGAACTAACCATCCCGCTGCAGCAAGTCAACGTGCCCGTATTGAATACCAAAGTGGATCCAGAGCCGGTTGAACCCGGTCATCTTGGAGAGACGAATGCAAGTTTGGGGACTCGTCGGGCGGTCCCCTTTCCCTCCGTCTTCCTCCGGTAAAGCGCGCGAAGGCTCACGGAGGGTTCCAGCGATGACGCGCGATTATTGAAGTAAGTGGAAATAAGCGAGGACGCTTTTTCTACAAGAACAGTCGGATAGATAATACCCTTTTTGGTGGTGGTGGAGAAGACCACCGGTTTGAGACGAAGATGGATCGCGTGGCCACGCGGCAAGAACAGAGAGGACCCTTCTGAGGCTCATGTTCCTCTTTTCCATAGTTCCCATTATTTGTCACCTGTGATGGCTGAGGCCGCTTCCTGCCTGGATGTAAAGTCGTCCTTCATAGTCTCTTTACCGCGGGAGACTCGGCATCTCTTTCGGTGCCGCGTGGAGGACGGCACGCTGGAGGAGCTGACACAGCTTCCAATGGGATACAAGGCCGGCCCAGAAATTCTCCAGATGACTACCTCGGCAATTGCGAGGGTGACGACGGTGGTTCACTCTCTCTGGGCTGCACCTCCATTGGTGCGTGTCGACGTTTGGATCGGTAATATACGCAGTGCAGGGTCGAGAAGCGATGCGACATTGTGGGAAGCCCAAGTGCTTCGTAATGCGGACAGCTGTCACGCCACGATGGGGGAGGACCGCGAATCGGGCGCCACGCAGCACACCTTCCTGGCGGTGCTGTTTGATCACACACACCGGGCGGTATCCCTGAGTGACAAGTTTGTCTGGTCTGTGCGCGCCATGCCGTCGCTGAAGTATTTAACCATCGCGGAAATGGAGGTTACGGCGTCACGCTTTTTGCCCGCGGCGGCCATATTGCGCACGCGTTTATGCGAATACTACTTTTTCATCAAGGCAGTGCGACGACGGCTATCCGCACTTAACCGGGGATTGTGCTGAAGACATCCCCGGCGAACCTTCCGCCGGCAGCGGTTGGTTCGGGCGAGAGGTTGCGACACATCGAGAACAATCGTAGGCGAATCATCAAGTCCTCTGAAAAGGCATCGGCCGCCGTCACGGATGCGTCGCTCAATGGATGGGGAGCCGTTATCATTCCAGACCCCGGCGACGTTAAAATTGCCGGAGGAGAGTGGAAGAGGAGGCCTTTTCTTATCATGCAGGCCGAGGCGCGCGCGGTACGCTTGGCCTTATCGGCCTTTTCCGCCATCTTGCCGTCCACCATGGACGTTTGGGTGGACAGCACTTTGCTGCGGGGAGCGACGAATAAAGGCAGCTCAAAATCACACGCCATGATGTGGGAGCCGCAACGGATATTTGAGTTTTGGAGTCTTGCGGAGTACAGGCATCCTTTGCGTACCTGCAGTCTGCGGGGTTTCCGCAGGCGGCATATCACGCGGTCGTGTTTTTATACTTTAGGAATTGGCGAAGGGGCGGAAATTGCGAAGGGGAGCGGCGGGGTTGTGTGGCTGCAGGACCCCAAAGTGTGCCAATTCGCAAGTAATAAATGTCTCCAATCCGAATACACTGCACCGTGGCACGAGAGTGCCTGTCAGAATATAAAAATATATTTGGGAAAAACATTGAGGATGTGGCGGGGCCGCTGCCTTTTCATTACCCTCTTCTTCCCGTCCTGTTTTATTTTTACGGATCAGTTCAGGATCCGGTCAGCAGCGCTGCAGAACATTTTTCCGTGCTTCGGCTTTATTTGGAGGCTGTGTCGGTTTTTTGTTGTTGTCTGTGTGTGCGCTGCGGTAATATGTGGTGCTGCCCCTTTCTCGCTCTTGTGACCGCAGCGTCTCTTTGCCTCTCTGCTCTTCTCCTTCTGTTTCTCCTGCAGACAAGGCCTATTCTACCACTACTAATACCACTGCTGCCCGCACCTCGGGAACAGACACATTGTCCCCAAGCCATGCGCCAGCCACGCCACACCGCACCACTGCTGATGCCGCTGCCGTGGCTCATGATGGTGGTGTGTTGCGCCGGTGCTTGCGTTGCCGCCGATCCCGCCGTGAAGCACCGCTGTGGGTTTGACGCGATGATGGAGAAATACTGCCGGCTGCCGACTGCGGTGGTGCGTGAGGTGCCGCGCCGGGGACAGGGCGCCGTGCAGGCGTACACCGCCGCCGGCGAGGATGGGGACGATGGCTGGGCTCCGATCCGCATCAAGGTGTCCGCGGAGGACATGTTCGACCCGTTGAGGCACTGCACTGCGGCGGGGGATCTGCGCATTGACCACGAAGGCCGCGCAATAACATGCGAGGCGGACGACGTGTTGACGGAGGAGAGGAGGAGCATTATTCTGAGGCAAACTCTCCCCGCCGCAATTCAACTGCACTCGGAGCGTCTCTCCGTGAGGCCCGTGACGCGCCCCGTCGTTATTCCACAGACCGGTCTGGGTTTGTGCGATAAATTCACCATCCCTCGCAGACACCGCACGGCGGGTGTGGCTGGCGCCGACATGATTCTTTACGCCAACATTTTTCCGACTTATGGTCCAGCCGCGTGGGCGGTTCAGTGCTCCCTGCTGGATGATGGCCGTCCATTTGCTTCTGCCGTGAACTTTGACCCGAAGAAATTGGCGGTGACAAATGAATACGTGCGTTTGGTAGCCCACGAGTTGGGGCGTGCTCTTGGGTTTGGACGGGATGTGTTTTTGCTGTTAAATATGATTTCCGAAGTCCCGAACGTGCGCGGGAGGCCCAAGGTATCGGTGGTTTCGACGCCGAACGCGAAGGCAATGGCGCGTCAGTACCACAGCTGCCCCACGCTTGAGGGCATTGAGCTGGAGGACGAGGGTGGTCCCGAAAGTGTACTGTCACATTGGAAGAAACGCAACATGAGGGACGAGCTGATGACTAGTGATGTGGGGGTTGGGCTGTACTCGGCACTGACGCTTGCAGCATTTGAGGACATGGGTTTTTATTTGGCAAACTACAGCGCGGCGGAGATGTTGTGGTGGGGCAACAACTCTGGCTGTGGGCTGCTGGAAAAGCAGTGCCTGACCGACGGCATCAGCGAATACCCTGATCTGTTCTGCAACTGGTTTTGGAGTGCCGGTTATGATTTCTGCACGTACGACCGTCTGTCTCTGGGGCGCTGTGGCATAAAGTGGTACGAGGAAGCCCTGCCACAGGAGTATCAGTACTTTGCCGATCCCCGACTTGGCGGTGATGACCTCTTCATGAGCAGATGTCCGATTGTTGAGGCGTATTCTGATACTGGTTGCACGAACGGCGACCCTTCAGTAATGCCTGGCAGTATTGTTGGCCCGAACTCGCGGTGCGTGAAGGGGCAGGATCTTCAATTCGACGACGAATATATTGGCGACGTGTGTGTGGACACTCGATGCGGCGACGGCACACTGAGCGTGCGGTTCCTTCGTGACGATGCGTGGCACGAGTGCCAGGAGGGTGAAACCGTCACGCCGCCATCGGGTCCCTGGCGTGGGAGCATTGTGTGCCCCCAATACGCCGATGTGTGCACCGCCTTCCCGAACATCAGCAGCCACCCAATACCGGTCGTTGACCCGCCTCCAGCGGACGACCCGACATCCGCGGAGGATGCAGAAGAAGGAGACGAGGGTGAGGTTCCGAGGAAGCGGCCGCCCCCTTCTTCCCGGCGCCCTCGCCACTCGGGAAATGGTCACGTTGTGATCCGCAAAACGCTCGCGTCGCGTGTGCTTTCCCCCGCTTGGGGGCCTTTGTTTCGGTAGCGCTGGCGGAAATGAGGTGGGCCCGCGGTTTCCTTCACCACCCTCGTGCTGCATTCTTTCCTTTAGCTTGGGGGTTCCGCGGAATCCAGGCTAGAAAAAAAAGGGAACAGAAAAAACAAAGCGAACTCGCCAGACATTTTTGCTCCGCCAGCTTGGCGCCGCGTTTTCCGAACACTACCCCGATTCCCCGCCCCTCCTTTTTTTCTTTTCCATTTTTTTTTTCACTGCAATGCGGTTTCCCGCGCTTAGCATTGTCATTTGTTAACTATTACTGTCGCCTTTCAGTTTATTCTCTCAATCGTCGACCCTGTCGCGCTGGTACGCGAAGAGCATCTTCTCCGAAGTCGCGGCGCGCTCCTCGTTTCTCCGTTTCTCTTGCTTTTTAAACTCCGGCAGTCGGTCAGAGAGGTACTGGAGTTTCGCTGCCTCCAGGGCTTGCTCTAGCGCTTCCATCCCTCGGCCGGATGCCGCGGAGACGCTCGCAACAGGGAGGCTCTCATAGAACCCATGGGTAAACAACGAAAGGGATTGGACGAGACTCCCGGCGTAGCTGCCGTCGTCGCTGTTGCTGTTGACCGCGTCGGCGAGTGCATCAGCGTCTTTCATCCAAAGGACTACTGCGTCGGACGAAACCACATCGGTTTTATTGAAGGCAAGAAGCAGTGGAATTTGCTGCTTCAACATGATGCTGCTCGAGTACAACATGGTGCTCATGAACGTTTGTGGACTTGCGCAGCGTGTCGTGTCCGCAACGAAAAGCAGTACGGTTGGCCAAGTCGCTGCGAAGGCCTCCGCAATGATCTGCCCAGACGCGGACCACGTGAAGACTTCAATCTGGCCGGGTGTATCAACTACGATCCATTCTAAATTCTCCTTTTTTTCAAGGATGCTGATTGCTTGATGGAACTTGGTGGCAAAAAGGTTCAACGCAGTCATGATGGCCCCGTTGGGCCCCAAACGGTACTGCTTCATGACTTCCTTGTAGTTTACAGTATCGCGAATGTCAATATTCGCGTTGTATGGAACATCCGCAACGGCCGGATCCAGGTTTATAAAATAGGCTCGCTTGTTTTGCTCCATCGTGTAGTGTTGCATTCGATGAACCAGCGTCGTCTTACCAGTTCCCGCCATCCCCACCACGAGGACCACCAACGGCCGGTGGTCTTGTTGCATGCAGAATGTGGAAGAAGAGCGTCCTTCATCCCACACGCACGCAAATGCAGAAACAAAAAAAAAAGGGGGGGAACAACCCAAATAAACAACCAGTCAAGGAGGCAAGTGGCATTGAAAGCGCAGAGATCAAGGAAAAGAGAGTTCAAAAAATGTTTACTTTCCATTTTTTTTTCTTTTTTAATGCTTCCGGAGAATTCCCCATAGCTTCCTCCTTTATCGAAACCCATAGAGAGGGTTAGGGATAAATAAAGGCCAAATGTCTTGCCAAAAGGGATTCTCCCTCCTCCTCCTTCTCTTCATTTACCGCATTCCTCCTCTCGTTTCTCATGGAGTCAATAACCACATCCATACACATCTTGACGGCGCCTGATGTTCCTCGTCGGTGTTGTTGCTAATAGCGAATAAACTCAATCGAGTGCAAAGGCTAAAAGAGACTTAACCCGATCAAACTCCAGACGTAGTGTGGCCTCATCTGGGCGTGACTCCAAAAGACTTTGCCATGCACTCTGTACATTTCCCAAGAAACGTATCAAATCATGCCGCATTGTTAACTGAGTCCCTGCAATGCGCTGAGATATAGCGGAGGCAAGGGAAAGACAAAGCGCTAGAACCCTTGTATTTTTCTTCTTCCCATTGCAAAAAGGATACTTATGCGCGCCAAGCCGGCAAGAGAGAAAAAACAATCGTTGATGATGCAACGGAGTCAAAAACATCGCCTTCAAGGAGCGTGGAGGATCTGCATATACAGCTTGCAGCATGCTCAAAGCACCCTGCAAGAATTCTGAATTCAATTCCTCTCTAAAAAAATCACTTTCACATAATTTCCGATGGCGTTCCTCCCTCATTATGCCTTCGATGATGTGTGCAAAATAAGAAGTGGCATCCGCACAACATCGGGGGTGTCGCAGCCACCACTCAGCATACCCTGAGGATGCAAGCTCAAGCGGCCACGCCCTAAACATATCAAACCAACGTTTGTTCTCAGCCGTTTCCATTTCTTGGTGGTTTCTGGCGCTGGACGCAACATAATCACCAGCAAAAGTATACGAGAGGGTGGAATGAAGTTCCTTCAAGAAACTGGATGAAATTTCAACGTCCCACTGGGTTGACGGGAGGAACTCATTTTCAACTGAAGCCTGCTGCAGGTACCTTCCAGCCATATCTTCATTAACCTCAAAACACGAGACACGGCGACCCAAACCCCGCTCCGCGGTAACATCGTCCACGGCAGTAGCACCATCAACCGTGGCACCGCAAACGTCATCATAGGGCAAAAACCGTGCACTCACTTGAACAGGTGCGTTCATTCTGCGTCTACGCTTCGTCGTCGGCATCATCTGCTTCGCACCTACCGAGGCCGCTGTGAAACCCCCTTTTCCTCTATTAGCGCCAGTGTGTGTAACAGATGAAGCCTCCGTTAGATCATCAGGCCCATTTTTCATGAGACTAATCTCACTAGATAGCTTCATGTGTGCTAAAGAGAAAACGAACTCAATATACACTCAACCAACTCCAATTGAAGGCTAGTTAACCACGCCCCTCGCCCCACCCTCCACTCCACCCACACGCTCTTCTCCCCTTCTACGCGGGTAGGCGTCCTTTTCTAGCAGTTACAATTGGCCAAGAAAACAATTAAGTAGTGTTGGAAAGGAGCTAAGTGCAGCAAAAAACAATTCCCACGTACGCCTTCCCTGCCGTAGCGGTAGCAGTGGACGCACGAGTAGGGAAGAAGAACTCAAATTTCAAAAACAGCTGACTGCATGCTCGACAGCACACAAAAATTAAAAAGCCGCCATACAAAAAGTAAACCCACACACACGCACAGGTTGGTACAGTCACCAACCCTGTGGAAATAAGGCCTTGAAGCGACGAACATAAAACTTCTGTCGGGGACCGCCGACATCGGATCCATATTGTCCACGCGCTCTCCAAATGTCACGGCTGTGTGTCAGCGGCATCTGTCCAATCTTCCCGTGATAGTCCGGATGCACATGGTACATCGATGACTTGAATTCAGTCACCTCTGGCGTTTTTATTTCCGCATTTCCCACGGCATTACACCGCTCCATCTCCCTAATGCGCTGACGATCCCGCTCAAGGGAATGATGCATCATTTCCCTCGAAACCTCATCTCGGGAATGGAACCAGTACATGTTCTCGGCGTAGGTCTGAATAGCGGCGGCCCGTTCCCACCCCAAAAGAAGCTTGTAATCCACCTCCTTCGTCGTTAGTGAATCATTCAGAGGATGCCGAAAGGCACCTCGAACTTCCTCCGCCACTATTTCTCGCCGAGAACGTAATGGAAACCGATTTGCCCCTTTAAGAAGGGCACGGTAGAGACGCAGCTTCTCTTGTCGCTTGTATACATTCATAGACATTTCCACAGCACAGAATACGCACTTGTACCTTGTACACGCACATATATATATTTTTCTTCTTTGGAAAAAGTGGAAGGTCCAACAGCACGCCGCAGCCCTCCACGTCAATACAGATCACGCAGCAGGAGAACCACCCCACCTAGAAAAAGTAAAAAAAAAAGAAAATGCCCCACCTCAAAACCCCCAACAAAAAGAAAGATATATAGAGAGGACAATACACGCACACAACACACCCACATATGTATATATGCGCATATTAGAGTGGCCAACCAACCCACACCAAAAGAAAAGGTGACGCCCCACCTCCTCATATAAAACACCTCACCGCACAAGATGATCATCGGCCACATGCAGAAAAATACCAAAAACAAAATAGTTTTCCGTGCCTGGATGAGGCCGTTTGGCTCACCGCACCACCCGACATCCCCACACTTCAGACAAGATTGACCCAACACCCACACACAAGTAAACAAACAAACAAAAAAATACACATAAATCATACTTTGTCCTAACCGGACTCGTAGTGAAATGAGGAAGCGGCAGTCTTTTTTAGGGCTTCACATCCGCCGGACAACTCCGCATGAAGAGCGGCAGCGACAGCGGGTGGGAGAAAAAAAAAAATAAAACAACAACAAAAAAAGCGCCCACCACAATTCAACACAGACCCTCTGACAAAACAATAATCCAACAATCGTAAAGGAAACGGGGCAGTTAATTAATGCACTTTATCATCTGCTCAGCCTCATCGTGACGCACATTCTTCCCAAACTTTACGGAGTAAAATAAATAATGAAAAAAAATACTCTCCCCATTCTAATGGCACAGTTTTAACGACTTATTGTAAACATTCACAATGACACGTTTCTCCTCCACCTTCCTTCCTTCCTTTTCCTCCCACAGCAGGCTTGCCGCCAGCGTAAATAGGGAAAAAGATAAGATGCTGGTGATAAAAAGGGCGCCCCGCCTACACGCACGCAGTCCTACACTGAGAGGAGGGAAAAATAAAAATAACAAAAACAAAAATAAAGAGTGGTGGAAATAAATCATGCCTTTTGATCCGCTCTTTCCGCACGATGCTTTCCTGCTCCCAGCAGCCACTGCATTACCCCACACCTCGTCTTTTTTAAAACTAAAAATAGTGGGCGCACATGCAGGAACTGCAAGAGACACGTGTACATACACACAATGCGGCAAAGAGGCGTAAACAATGAAAAAAACAAAAAGACCTAAAACACATCCCCGTACTCGTACACAGTGTTTTCTTGATTCTTTATCACCCTAGGGACCTCAACGTTTTCGTATGCAAAGGGAGTATTCATGGGCACCCCATCACCCAACGTTGAATAGCGCATCATCGGGCTGTTATCGTTGTAGATTCCATCATCCCCGTCAATTGGATGAAGGGGCTCACTGCTCACCTCCCGCAAGACCATGTGCACCACCCACTTAGATTCATCGTCAGCACCGCGGCAACGGCAGAAGCAGACAGTGATTATCGCGACGGCAACAATAACCGGCACCAATATTGCAATCAAGATAACGTACTAACGCTTATGCACCCACGAAATCTCCACAGTCGGTGGAAGCGTCGTAGTGCTGACGACGTACCCTTCTTGAGTCTCACAGACAACGCCAAATGTGTCTTCGGGCGTTTCTCCATCGTACCTGGGCACACCTTGCCCGTCATACCACGACGCCTTCTTATCGCTTTGGCTCGTATCCATACGAAGCATTAAGAACAACTGGCCGTGCTTAGGTAACTCAGGGCCCCAATAAGCATCGTACCCGTTCATTGGCCCCGCGTCAATAAGCGTATACATTGTACCCCTGAAAAACGAAACACCATGACCATCGGATGAGGAGTCGAGAAACGCACCCTCATTCCGCTTGTAAATACATTTTAACGATGCCCGACGCTCACCACGTAGACACCTTTGTTCGGACGGCGCCGAATCCGCTGTGTACTGGGCAGTCCCGCCAAGGTACGTACGGAATGTTTCAATTTTCTTGGATGCAAGCTTTCTCAACTCAGCCGCGATAGAAATATGTGCAGCAGGTGTTTGATCCGAAGCAAGAAGGCCTCCACCATTAAAACAAGAGACCTGAGAGTTAGTGTAATCAACGCGGTAACCAAAATTGGTCTTAAATACAGAATGGGCGTGGTGGAAATACTTCGTGATTCCAATGGTCACGTGTTTCCCCTGCAGCAGTAAAGGAGGGATGGCTGCCCAGGTACTGCAGCAGGAGGAACAGCACCATCCACCGGACCGCGTTCCTTGTCGCAGAGCGCGTTCGAATGCCCATTGCTTCGGCTTCCATAATATCACCCGTCGTGCGGTAGAGCGTGTGAGTCCACTATTTTCGCGTGGTAGAGACAAAATGAAGGGAGAGGCACAACGACGGTGTGAAAAGAGAGCTCCAGGGGCGCAGGAACGCCCAGTCGAATGATCACAATTCTTGAGAGGATCGGGCAAAATGCCACGCAAGAAACAATCCCTGCGGCCTTGTAAGGGGGGAAGGACCCCGGCCCGCAAAGATTCACATATGCATACGAGGAGTAATTACTGTGCACGCAACAAGGAACGCAACATTCCAGCGTCCCCAACGCAAAATAAAAAAGGGATCCTCGTGAGTCCAACACACGGGCCCACACTGGCCAGCACCTTCCGCACCGCTCCCCCATCCGTAACGGTGCATGGGCAAAAGAAAACAGGCGCAGCGCGACCCCGCACAGGGAACAACTTGAGCAAAAGCAAAGGGTGGACACAACAAACACAGAAAAAACAAATAAATAGATGAAAAAAACTTTCAGAATGATCTTCTGGGCCGCTGGCCGGATCCCGAAATTGCCAATAGGAGCCACACAAGACAGGAATGAGAGGGGGTGAACGGAATGGGGGCGGGGGTTCGCCAAGTCTTTAATGAGCGTTTACACCAATTGGGTGCAGATTTATATATGCATATTATGGTAGCCACTGTCGTGACGTGATCCCTCTATGCGGATTAGACACGCATAATATATATGCGTGTGTTTGTGCATTCACAAATTAAGAATTGGCACACTTTGGGGTCCTGCAGCCACAAGACCCCGCCGCTCCCCTTCGCCAATTCCTATAAAAACACGACCGCGTGATATGCCGCCTGCGGAAACCCCGCAGACTGCAGGTACGCAAAGGATGCCTGTACTCCGCGAGACTCCAAAACTCATAAATCCGTTGCAGCTCTCACATCATGGCGTGTGATTTTGAGCTGCCTTTATTCGTTGCTCCCCGCAGCAAAGTGCTGTCCACCCAAACGTCCATGGTGGACGGCAAGATGGCGGAAAAGGCCGATAAGGCCAAGCGTACCGCGCGCGCCTCGGCCTGCATGATAAGAAAAGGCCTCCTCTTCCACTCTCCTCCGGCAATTTCAACGCCGCCGGGGTCTGGAATGATAACGGCTCCCCATCCATTGAGCGACGCATCCGTGACGGCGGCCGATGCCTTTTCAGAGGACTTGATGATTCGCCTACGATTGTTCTCGATGATGTGTCGCAACCTCTCGCCCGAACCAACCGCTGCCGGCGGAAGGTTCGCCGGGGATGTCTTCAGCACAATCCCCGGTTAAGTGCGGATAGCCGTCGTCGCACTGCCTTGATGAAAAAGTAGTATTCGCATAAACGCGTGCGCAATATGGCCGCCGCGGGCAAAAAGCGTGACGCCGTAACCTCCATTTCCGCGATGGTTAAATACTTCAGCGACGGCATGGCGCGCACAGACCAGACAAACTTGTCACTCAGGGATACCGCCCGGTGTGTGTGATCAAACAGCACCGCCAGGAAGGTGTGCTGCGTGGCGCCCGATTCGCGGTCCTCCCCCATCGTGGCGTGACAGCTGTCCGCATTACGAAGCACTTGGGCTTCCCACAATGTCGCATCGCTTCTCGACCCTGCACTGCGTATATTACCGATCCAAACGTCGACACGCACCAATGGAGGTGCAGCCCAGAGAGAGTGAACCACCGTCGTCACCCTCGCAATTGCCAAGGTAATCATCTGGAGAATTTCTGGGCCGGCCTTGTATCCCATTGGAAGCTGTGTCAGCTCCTCCAGC